ATACAGACTCAGTATCTTTTAAACATTCCCCCTGCAGAAGAGAGACAATCTCCTGGAGCCAAAGCTCTGGGAAAAGGAATGGTGACCCCAGGCCATCACTTGTTGATACCCAGCACCCTTTAACCACTGCTGCAAAAAACTAAACTGAGGGAGAAAATTAAACACCTTCTGTATTTCCTTCAAGGAACACAAACAGAATAAAGTCCACAACAAAGTAAAGATCTCAACTGTCCTGTTTTGTTTCTGCCTTCACAAGAGCTTTCCCAAAGGAACAGGTTGGCACTCCCTCTGCATGGGAAAGGAGTAAGACTTTACTACAGGGAATCTGGGAATGGTTTGGGTTGGAAGAGATCTTAAAGCTCATCCAGTGCCACCCCCTGCCATGGGCAGGGACACCTTCCACCAGCCCAGGTTGCTCCAAGCCCCGTCCAGCCTGGCCTTGGACACTTCCAGGGATCCAGGGGCAGCCACAGATCCTCTGGGCAAACTGTGCCAGGGCCTCCCCACCCTCCCAGGGAAGGATTCTTTCCCAATATCCCATCTGTCCCTGCCCTCTGGCAGTTTGAAGCCGTTCCCTCTGTGGGATCAGCCCAGGATGTGCCTGGAACCGGTGTTCAAAAAGTTCATCCTCTTCAAGCCTTGACTTCCACTCCTGTCTGAGCAAAGCTCAGCTGCCAATTCAACCCTCCAGCCCCCCTCCCTTTCACTTTTTAATACATACTGACTTTATGTCAAAGGAGAGTTCGGGTTTGAGTTATTTTTGACTTAAATCAGGTGCCCAAAGCCAGAAGTGGTTCCTCCCAGGACACAAACTTGTCATCCTGGTGCCATCAGACACTGGGCTCCTGCTGGCACTGTTTATGCACCAAGAAAACCCCCAAACTCCCCCCCTGCCATCTGACAGAGGGGCAGTTCTTGAGCAATTTGCCCAAATTCTTTGCCCCAGTGCCATTCCATCTGCTGAGTTCCCAGCAGGAAGGAAAAAAGGCAAAACTTCCCCTATGGTTTTGAATCTCTGGTGTAAAAACCAGGACAACTCCCACTCCCTGCCTGTCCCTCCCAGGGAGCCTCTGCAGCATTCCAGTTGTGCCAGCCCTCCCACCATGGCCTCTCCAGAGGAATCAGGCCCCAGATTCCTCCTTATGGGGCATTCCAGCTGTGCCAGCCCTCCCACCATGGCCTCTCCAGAGGAATCAGGCCCCAGATTCCTCCTTATGGGGCACCCAGCCAGGCTGAACTCCCAGGAAAGGTCTGAGAGTTTGCTGAAGTGTTGGCATTGCCCAGGGAAAGCTGTGGCTGCCCCTGGACCCCTGGAAGTGTCCAAGGCCAGGTTGGAGCAACCTGGGCTGGTGGGAGGTGTCCCTGCCCATGGCAGGGGGTGGCACTGGATGAGTTTTAAGGCCCCTTCCCACCCAGACCATTCCATGACTCTGTGACTGAACCTGTCTGGCAGAAAAGCCAAAGGCTCTGGGATGGTCCCACCAGCACAGCTGGAAGGAGCTCCAGCACTCTGAGCCTTCCAGCAGCACAGAGCCTGCCCAGGGATAAAATTCCAGCCCAGAGCCAGCCCAGGGATAAAATTCCAGCCCAGAGCCAGCCCAGGGATAAAATTCCAGCCCAGAGCCAGCCCAGGGATAAAATTCCAGCCCAGAGCCAGCCCAGGGATAAAATTCCAGCCCAGAACCAGCCCAGGATGCCATTCCAGCACAGATGTTTAAAAACTGCCTGCCTGCCACGCTGCTGAGCTCCTGGAGAGGGAGCCTCAGCCCTGCCTCTCTTCTTGTTCCTGGCTCTCCCACGCAGCATCCCAGCTTCTCCCCCAATCCCAGCTTCTCCCCCAATCCCACGTGCCAGGCAGAGGAAGGAAAAGGGAAGCTGCTGCACCGTGCTGGGATCAAAATTGCTGCTGGGGTTGCAGAAAAGGCAGAGCTTGCAGGGCTGGGGAAAAGTGGGGGACAAAACCTATCTGTAACTAAAGCCTTGATCTTTCCAGGCAGCTCCCCAGAATGTGACCATTCCTGGTTTCAAATTCTATGTTTTCTAGTGTGATCTGAGAATAACCAAACCCTCAGTTTAGCTGTCTCTCAGTTAAGGCCAAATGAGATCAGAAAAGCCCCTCTTGGTCCTGCTGTCCCAGTGTCCCTGCTCTGAGCTTTGTGCTGGTTCAATCCCTCCTCAGGGAGACAGGGACTGTTCTGAGGTCTCAGACCTTTTGAGGGACAAGCCCAGCTTCTGTTTAGTGGCAATAAGAAGTTGTCACATGAGGAAAGGATCAAAGCCTGGACATCACAAACAGAACAACTGTTTGGCACATTCACTGCAGGGGTAAAACCCCTCGCTGGGGCAACAGCAGAGGACACATCCCACTGAGATAACAGCTGATGTTGAAAACAAGAAGACCTAAAATAAGAAGTGCCAACCCCAGGGAAGGACCTGCAGAGCCCCCAGAGGCACAGCCAAGATCAGCAGAGCAAACCCTGCAGGAACAGGCTGGGAAAGGAACTCATGAGACCGGACACGAGGAAAGGCCTGGAGAGAACCCTGGGCAAGAAATCCAGCTGCTCCCAGCCAGGGGATGAGAAGTGGGCTCTCAGCACACTGGAAGGGGATGCAAACTGACTGTCCAGACAAGGCAGCACCAGGAAAAGGGTCCTGTTGAGCCATTTTCCATAGAACACACTCACTGCTAAACCACCGGGCCACATCATGTTACTGCACACCCAGCTCAGCCCACGGCTCCCACCAGTCCCAAATCACCTCAGGAGGCAAAGTTTGAGGCCCAGCCCTGCTGCTGTGGCACTGCCAGCGCCCCTGGGCACCGCTGTGCCACCAAACCCAGGCGTGTGGCACACACAGCCCTGAGCCACAGCACCCACCCCACTGCCAGAGCCCCGGGGAGCAAAGCAGAGCCAGGACAGAGCTGGAGCAGTTACTGGCCTGTCATAAGCTGCTATCATGAAGTTGAGGAGGAGGCTGATGGACTGCTCCACGCTGATCTGGTGGGTGGAAGGCAGGCGTTTGTTCAGCTGGTAGTAGATGGATGAGATGATGGTTTCCAGCCGGGACACGTTGATCTCTGTGTTGTGGTCCAAGGTGTTAAGGCCGTTGTCTCGGAAGGCTTCGATCATATTCCAGATATCGACAAGGTGAACTGAAAACAAAGGGGGAAAAAAAATTAACTGCTGTTCTGTGAGGCATGCAAGGTCACTCTGATGGCACTGCTGATGAAAACGGGGTTAGTTTTTCCTTAGGATGAACAGTTATTTGTATTCAGAGTGAGAGACAGACTCAAGTTCACACTCACAGTTGTTTAAAGGGACAGAGTGGTGCCCAGACACCTCATGTGCCTTTTATTCCACCCCTCAACATCTGGGTGCTCTGTCAGAAGCAGTTCCCAGAGGAGCAGAGCCATCCCCCCCCAGCATGCAGTGGGTTTTAGCAGAGTCAGAGACATCAGCCACAAGCCCTCCCTGGGAGGGTGGGGAGGTTTCCCAGAGGAGCTGTGGCTGCCCCTGGATCCCTGGAAGTGTCCAAGGCCAGGTTGGACGGGGCTTGGAGCAACCTGGGCTGGTGGGAAGTGTCCCTGCCCATGGCAGGGGGTGGCACTGGATGAGCTTTGAGGTCCTGCCAAACCCCAAACATTCCATGATTCCATGATATTCTAAATTCACTACAAACTGTTTACAGTAATTTTGAACACCCTCGTGCTGACGAGCAGAGTATCGAGGGAGGAACTCGATGTTCCAGTTGAACTGTGGCTGCTTCCAGTTGATCCAGTTGCCAAATCCTGAGCATAACACAGGCCTAGAGCTCCAAAGCATTTCTCCAAATTACCCTGCCACACGCAAGCACATATCTAAGGAGTGTTAACAACATTTCCCAAACCACAGTTTGGGGAAATCTCCAGAACCACATTAAATAGCATTTTGAGATGTTTCAAAGCTCTAAGTTATGCATGAGAGCAGAGAAGACATCTAAGGATCAATAGCAATCCAAACTGAACGTGATCCAGCAGCTACAGAGGACAGACATGTTCACCACTCCTGGGATCTCCCCAAAGAAGGGTTTGAACTCAGGGTGAGCTTGAACATTTCTTACATTCAGCTTGTCTTTATATTTCTCACATAAAAGGACAGAGGCCAAGCTGGAACCCCCACCCTGGCTCAGCCACAGCTCTGGGGAGCTGTCCAGGCTCACAGGGACAGGGAAGGGGAGGAGAAAACTTACACTGGCAGTGGAGTATGAACTTGCAGAATTCTTTATGGCTGCTCCATGTCACAAGTGCCACCGGGACAGACCTGGACACCTTCCCACCCTGTGCCCTGCTGGCAGCTGCTCTGGGGCACCCCAGGATGGAACAGCACCTCAAACAGCCTGAGCTGCCTGCACCCAGCACTGAGGGCAAGGGAACACATCATGCTGGCCCTCATGTTTTAAATATTCTTGAACATTAGGGAATAAACCCGAAGAGATTACACAGTGTCACTGTACACTGAAGAGATTATACAGTATCACTGCACACTTACACACTATAACTAAACACTTCATCTCCGTTTCACTAAAGCAACAGCTGGCACTGCCTGGCAAAGTGCTGGCTGCCAGCCCCCCCAGGACTGGCAGGGGTGAGGGTGTGGGACGTGCAAGGGCCCTGCCAGCAGCCCAGGGGTGATGGGGACTCACGGTTGCAGCGTTTCTGCACGAAGCGCAGCTTGCAGGCGGTTCTGTACGTGGAGAGCCGGATCACATCGAAGTTCTGGGCCCCTGGGACAGACAGAGAGGGGGGGGTTGATCCTTCCTCTGTGACATTCACCTCACTGAGAGCAGCACGAGTGTCCCCTCACAGGCATCACTCCATGGAGCACATAAAGGAGGGGATCCTGCCCCCCTCTGCCCCCTCAGCTGAGACCCCCCTGCAGAGCTGCCTCCAGCCCTGGGCAACAGCAGCACAAGGACGTGGAGCTGCTGGAGAGAGTCCAGAGGAGGCCCCGCAGATGCTGCCAGGGCTGGAGCCCCTCTGCTCTGGAGCCAGGCTGGGAGAGCTGGGGGTGCTCAGCTGGGGAAGAGAAGGATCCAGGAAGACCTGAGAGCCCTTTGCAGAGCCTAAAGGGGCTCCAGGAGAGCTGGAGAGGGACTGGGGACAAGGGATGGAGGGAGAGGACACAGGGGAATGGCTTCCCACTGCCAGAGGGCAGGGTCAGATGGGATATTGGGAAGGAATTCCTGGCTGGGAGGGTGGGGAGGCCCTGGCACAGGTTTCCCAGAGGATCTGTGGCTGCCCCTGGATCCCTGGAAGTGTCCAAGGCCAGGTTGGACGCCAAGGTCTGCTCTTGGCTCACATGAGCAACTTGAATGTTGGCCAAAACAACAGAAGGTCCCTGAAAGCACCAATTTTTACACATCTGCATCTTCCCTGGGTGTGAAGCTCACCTGGAAAGGAAAAACACTGATGGGTGACTTCAAAGGGAAACATTCCACCAAAGGACAGGTGGAGCTGGGACACCTCTGAGCTGGGCCAGGGCAGGGTCAGGTGGGATCTCAGGACAAGGTTCCTCCCCCAGAGGGTGGTGGGACACTGCCCAGGCTCCCCAGGGAATGGGCACAGCCCCAAGGCTGCCAGAGCTCAGGGAGGGTTTGGACAATGCTGAGGGACAGGGGGGATTGTTGGGGTGTCTGTGCAGGGCCAGGGGGTGGATGGATGATCCCTGGGGGTGCCTCCCAAACAACAACCCCTGGAAGTGATGAGATAAAAGCGACACCCTGAGGCACCAGCCAGAGCCATTCCAGTGGGGATGTGTCATTGGATTGGAAAAGGTTCTGAGGAGATCCCCAGCACACCAGCCTGGACAACAGGAGGAATTCCTGCATGGAAAGGGTTGGGCTTTAAGGTCCTTTCCCTCCCAGACCATCCCACGATTCTATGATAAAAATGCTACTCTGGAATTCCTTCAACAAAACAGTATCAATATCCAGGTTTAAGGAAGGCCTCCCTCAGTTTGTAACTGGAATTAGGGACATCCTGGGCCTAATCCAGGAATTTCCTTCAGCCCTGTGCTCCCACAGGACAGCAGAATAAGGGGCTGGAATGCAAACATGCAGTGTTTGAACAATCCCAGCCCCTCTGCCAGGAGTGATCCTGCACAAACTGTTCCCCTCCTGAACATTGTAGGGCCATTTTTTTACTTTTTTAAGGCAAAAGGTGCTCTGTTGTCTGTTGTCACTGTTTATTTCAACAGCTGTCCACAAACTTCAGGTACTGCCAGAGATGAGAAATGTGAATGTTCCTTAAAAAAGGAGCTTCCCAAAACCTTGGAATGAATGACCTTCCTGGCAGGTGTGACCCACCCTTTGCATTCTCCCCCTGAGCAGCTCCCAGGGGCACCCTGGATGTTTTTCCCTGGGTGAAAGGAGATGGGAATGACCTGGGAAAACTGTCCCAGGGGAGCTCTTGGTAAAGAATAGACGACATTGTGCCTCCAAACTTCCTACTTACTCATCTCCATGAACAGCTGCCTCTTCTCTGCCATGGTCCTCCTCCTCTTCCCACTCTCCTCAATCATCCTGGAGACAGAAATGGCAAACACTGTTTGTGTCAGAATTGCTGTTACAGGAGCAACTTGCTGCTAACAACGTGGTTTTATCCCTCAGAAACAGTCTGATCCTGCCTGGTGACTGAACAGACCAGCAGACAGACAGACAGACAGACAGACAGACAGACAGACATCCCTCCATAATTACCCTGCTCCACAACACACACACACACTTCGGGCTCCTCAACACCTTCTGAGGGAGGGGGGGCACAGGAAACATTAATTCTGAATGTTTTAATTGCTCGTGCTAAGCCTGAAAAGCTCAGAGCAGCATTAATATATATATATATAAATAGAAATACCACAGAAGGAATTCCTTTGGGTCCAAAGGGGGTTTTGGTTTGCAAAGCACAGAGCAAGCTGAGCCAAAAAGGGGATTTTGGGGCCTCTGGGGTTCAAGAGGAGAAAGCACATCCCAGTCCTTCCCCTGGCTGCCAGGGGTCAGTGACAGCCTGATCCCTGCAGGATCACTGAGGCTGGAAAAGGCCTCCCAGGATTTGGGGGGGGAAAGTTGGGGGGCCCTTGTCTTTCAAGAAAACTTGTAAAAATCCATTTTGCTTTGAAACCCAGTGCCTGAGGTCAAATCTTTACAGGGAAGTAAAGAACTTAAGTGTGATTAAGTTGGAAATAAAAACATGTATGTTGGTGGCACAGGCCTCCCCTTCCTCAGGGAAATATTAAAGAAGTGACAGCAACAGAGAGGAACTTGGACCCCCAGGGAAGAGGGCACAGGGACAGTTCAGCCCCTCTCACAGCACCACACAGTCCTAAAAGATGTCAAATTTCAGTCAACTCCAGTGAAAAAACACAAGTTAATTCAGTTATCAGTGTAAAATCTAATTTATAATTCACTTAATTACCAAATCATTCTTTTGTTACCAGCTTCACCAACTTATGGTTTAAAACTCGAGTTTAAACCAGCGGTTTAAAAACCAATAAATGCAGTTTTAAAGTGTCTAAAACCTAAAAAAAGGCAAAAATCCCTGACAATTCTCCTACAATTCCACCCAGATCCATGGGAGTCGGTCAGCTCAGCCTCCTGCAGCCCCGATTGCATCAGCCTGGAATGTCAGCAGGGAACAGGGAAGCTGTGCCTTGGCACTGCCACCCGGCCCCCAGGAACAGCCTCACAGCACACCCAGCCTGGAACCCACCACAACCTCCCTCCTTCTTCCCTTTCCCAAAGGAAAACAAGCACGTGGGGTTATAACAGGCAAACAGATATATTTTACTGCCTTGTTTTCCCCTGATTTTTCTAAAGGAAAGCACCTCAGTGGCATTTGTTGGAGAGATGCAAAGGTTTGGGTTTTTTTACCTTTTCAGGTTCCTAAAATAAATTCATTTTATGAAGTTCAATGAACATATTCAAACAGAGTTATCTCAGCCAAGGTTTCCCCCAAGGAACTCACCTGTCCCTCACTGCAGGAGTTCAGTGCCCTGGACACTGGGACTCTCTGTCCCTGAGATTCATCTTGTTCAAGCTCCAGGTGCCCTCACACCCTGCCCCAAGCTTCAGAATTTTTGGAATATTCCTCTCTGTTTCCCCATCACATCAAATATGCAGGTCAGCTCGAAACCCACCAGGTGCTGTCCCTGAAATCCCCTTTATTCCCACTGCACCCCTTTAAATTCCACAGCAAGGGACTCAGAGGGGCAGAAATCCCCTTGGAGGATTGGATGAAACCACATGAAATAGTGATTTCATGTTTTAAGCTGGTTTTAGGAGAGGTTATTTTACCAACACATGAGGGATAATAATGCTTGAATCTCCTGCAACACCCGGAAAAATAAAGATAACACGAGATCTCCCTGGGCTTTGGGTGCATGTGCCTCATCCCTCCCTTCCCTACAGACACCTCAGTCACACAACCATCAAATCCCAGACTGGTTTGGCTGGGAAGAGACCTTAAATCCCACCTTGTTCCACCATCCCAATTGCTCCAAGCCCCATCCAGCCTGGCCTTGGACACTTCCAGGGATGGGGCAGCCACAGCTTCCCGGGGTTCCCTGGCACGGAGGGGGCAGGATGGGAGTCCCAGGGGTCATTCAGGGGGCACAGGCACCTCACAGAGCACAGTCACACAGAATTTGGGGTTCAGCAGGTCACACTGACCAGGATACACATTTCCAGAATCCCAGAGGAGCCAGTGTTGTCCACAAGGGAAATGAGGGAGTGATCTGTTCTCGCTGCCCTTGAAATGAAACCTGGCTGAGGGACCTGATTTGTCCACGATCCCAGAATGATCCAGGTGGGAAAAGCCCTCCCAGCCCATGGATCCCACCCTGTGCCCCATCCCCACCTTGTCCCCCAGCCCAGAGCACTGAGTGCCACGGCCAGGCCTTCCTGGGACACCTCCAGGGCTGGGCACTCCAAACCTCCCTGGGCAGCCCCTGCCAGGGCCTGACCACCCTTTCCAGGAAGGAATTGTTCCCAACATCCAACCTGAAGCTCCTTTTGGGCAGCCCTAGGCTGTTCCCCCTCATCCTGTCCCTTGTTCCCCGGGAGCAGAGCCCAACTCCCAGGTCACTGGCAGGTATTTGGGAATGTCCTATGGAATCTACCAGAATCATGGACAAACCTGCTTTAATTCCTGAACAAGGAGGTACGGGAGGATCCCTCGGGGACGAGGCTGGGAAGAAGGAAGATGGGAAGCCTTTCTCAAGTTCAAAAGAGGAATGAACCAAACCCACAGTAACTGGAACTATGTTTGGGATGCAAATTACAGAGCTGGGCTCAAACACAGGGAGGGGAAGCAGCAGCTCATCCTGCATGGGTAGGGTTTGATGTTTGGAGGGGGGAAATGGGTTTGGGGTTTTGGTGGGGATTTTTTGGGTGGTTTTTCTTTGTTTGTTTGGCTGGTTGTGCCTTGTTTTTTAAACATTCGTGGCACGGTGGGTGAGAAAAGTGCCAAGAAACTTACACAGGGACTGGGATGACGTGGCAGCCCAGAATCCCAGGGATGGCTGCTCACATTCCATGGGGGGAAAACCTGCTCAAACACAGAGTCAGGGAATCGCTGGATCCCAGAATGGTTTGAGGGGAAAGGCACCTTAAAGATCATCCAGTGCCACCCCCTGCCATGGGCAGGGACACCTTCCACTGGCTCAGATTGCTCCAACCTGGCCTGGGACACTTCCAGGGATGGGCAGTTCAATGTTCAAAGATGTCACACCCTGGAAAACTGCAGGGGAGTGTGTTTGATGCAAACCTCCCAAATTCTGCCATTTCCTTCCATCCATTCACCTCATCCCCCTTGCAACAGGTGAACACTTTTACTGCCTCGGGAGCAACACGAGCAACCCTGACACAGTTAACAGAAAATATTATTATAAATCTAATTTATAAATTAGAAACGTGGAGAATCCTACGCTCAGCCACCACCTGAAATGGAATTGCACCATAAACTTAAAAACTCTTCTGATTTCTCTTGTTGGAATTTTTTTCCTTTCCCTGTTTCCATCCACCCTTCTGTCGCAGGGTTCTCCCCTTTCCTCACCTTTCAGGGCTCCCTCCCACCCCCAGAGCACAGGCAGGTCTCACATATCCACGTTATCTCTGTGTGCACACACACCTGGCTGCAGGAAAACCGGGATAAATGCAGGGAAAGCCCTGCTGGATGTTTTCCTTGCCCTGATCCAACAGGTCCAGCCGGTGCTGACTCTGCCCCACGTTCCTGTGGTTCCCCAGGTGTTCCCAGGTGCTCCTGGGTGCTTCCAGGTGCTCCCAGGTTTCAGGCCAATACTACAGGACCTTTCTTAAGAGGTTTCGCTCTTCTTGGAGCTCATCAGCTGTAGGTAACGGCCCGGGGAGGCAGCTCCTCCTCCTCCTCCTCCTCCTCCTCCTCCAGCTCAGCCTTCCCCCTCCTGCCCCAACTGCTCCTCTTCTGACCTCCTGCTCCCCTGCAAACTCTGTCCTTTGGCTTTTCATACCTGCAGTTCCAGGTGCTTCCTCACTGCTTCTGGATGACTCCAATTTAGTCATCAAGGCACTGAATCGGCCAAAGATTTTTATTTTTTTTCTTCTCACAGTCAATTTTATTTTATTTTGTTTTATTTCCACCTTTTTACTCCAAAGGAGACTCTGAGCTTTAGGGTTTGATAACCATCTCCAGACAGTGGCTTGCACTGAAACTCAGCCTCATCAGCCGAAGAGAACAGAAAAAGAAAAAAAAAAAGTTAATTTACAGATTGTTAAATCTGAGTTTGTTCAGATTCCTGATGTTGCATTTTACCAGCAGAAATAATATTTAACTGCACGAGGGTAAAATTGTGCTCAGACCTATTTGTGCTCAGAAATAACTTGTAATCAAAATCAATCAGAATCCCTCTCTGAGGCACAGGTTGATCCCAGCTGTGCTTGACACACACACAGAAGGAAGTTGAGTGACTTTCTGCCTTTTTTTCTGATTTGGAGGAACAAATATTCTTGGTGGTTCAAGGAAAAACTTTCATTCCCCCTCAGCTCATTCACTCTTAAAAAATATAATTGGGATGAAGATCTTGAATAAAAACTCAGGGCACACCTGCACTGGCAGAAGAAGTTACTGTTTTCCATCTGATTTGGGCTTCAACTCACATTTCACTTAAATAGTTTAAAATAATTTCTGAACTGTAATAAATACTTTGTTGAAGTATAAAATTAAATTTATTTATTATATAAGGGTGTTTACATTTACTCATCTTAGATTTCAGTAAAAATATGAAGTATTTTTACTTTTCTTTCCTAATTTGAACAAAGACCCCACAAAGGCTGCTTTTATTCCCTCATCTCCCTCTGTGGATGCTCTCACTCATTTCTTTGCTCTTCAAGCTCATGGTTCATATTCCCATCTCCCTTTTGTCAGCAGTCAAACATTAATAAAGGTAACTGATCCAAAATATTCCTTTTTTTCCCCATAAGCCTCTTCCCAGGGGGACAAACTGATCTAGGAGTGATTCCAGAGGGACACATCTAACCCTGGGAGGAGAAATGATAAATCTTTTATATACATTCAAGTGCTCTGGTAACATCTTTTAAAGGCTATTTTAACCATTTCTGATAATTCTTCCAATTTAACTTAAAATTTCAAACTCTGTTCC